TGCGTGGATTTTAGACAATTCTATTTACGGGATAACAAAAAATAATTGCGAAAATTGTAAAATGATTCATAAATTTTAGACTCAGTTTTTGTTCAGGAATAGCGTTATATGAGTCGTAGAAATTTTTTAAAATGTATCTCCGCCAACAGATAGCCATGGCGGAGATGTATTAATTCGTAAGCAAGAATCTCCTGAGAAAGAATATTAATAAAAAGCGCAACTTTTCGCTTGTAAAGTGAGGCCCCGAAGTTGGGTTTAGGTGAATAAATTTTTGAACAAAGGTCCTGATATTCGTTGCCAATAGGTACTGAAAATCTATAATGCGCACGTAATGTATACTATAAATTTTCAGTATTGGTGAACTTCGGAACACAAAATTTTGTGTCCAACACATAAGGTACATTTACTTTTTACGCGTTTTAAAAACTGGTAAGCATCGCTTACATCATTTTTCTCATTGTAAACGCTCAGAAAAAGGCAAAGAACCACTTATGACGTCATCGTGACGTCACAGATAGTAGATACTGCTCAAAACGCTTCGTCCGTTAAGGTAAGATAACAAAATCGTGAACACTTACAGACGCTTATGGGCAAAAGTAAATGCAATGAATGAACCTAAGAATATAAAATAGTAAACGTGTTATATATATAACATGCACATTTTAGTATTTTCTCTATAAGAATCATAATCCTCTTCGTTATCATCCATTGACAAAAGAGTTAACACTTGTCCAAATAATATTGGAATAAATTCTTTTTTATCCTTTATTATTTTATACTTATAATCGCTTAAAAACCCATACAGCACAAAAACTTACAGTATCATTGCAGAAACGTTGCAACATTGCAGATTGCGCTGTAATATCGCTGCAACATTTTAGATATCAGAAATAATATACCTATAATACATACATGACAGCGCAATATTTTACTAATCTTACAGTATTGTTACAGAGACATTAAAAACATTTTAACTTTTGAATAATGAATTGTTGTCACATATGGAAACATACGTTAATTACACGTTATATGATTGTTAATTATTTCCATTAATTTAAAAATTATAATGTTCGTTAGAACATTTGCTGTCACCGCCGCGCGACAAAATTTTTCAAACTTTATAATCAACCCTCATAATTTTTTGGAGTATTTGGATTTAACAAATTCTTCGAATAATGTAAAGAAAGTGAAATAGAATGCGTTTCTTATTTTTCCATTTCACCAGTTAAGAATATGTATAAAAGGCGTATCTGCATACAGTGTAAAACATATATTTACGAAAATGTGTAAAATATATATGTCCATATACGTAAACTTTAAAATATATACAGGATACCACTTAAATCGATTATTTGGAATATCTCTTGTTTTATGTCTTATTTTATATCTTGTTTTTAATAATATAAAAAAATATTTCAAATAAAAGTGAAATGGGGTTTTAAGGGAGATGTATTTTAATATTTTAGTTGTTATTTTTTTTCTAGGTGGAGATGTCAAAAGGATATGAAGGTCATCTCCACTTTTTTAAATGGAATTATATAATTTTTTTTATACAATATGATTCCTCTAATTACTGTGCATATAAAAGTATTAAGGTAGTGATATCAGAAAACTAATAAATAAAAATACATAGTTGTTTTAAAAAAATATGTATGCAAAATGGATAATTTTTTATATAAGCAATTATGTATTTTCTTTCCATCAACTCATCTTATCATTCTGTTCATAAAAGTATTAAGATACGATTATCAAAAAGTTAATAGTTTACGAGTTATTTAACATTTATGTCAATATGTGCTAGAATAAAGTGTAAAATATCTCGTAAAAATTAATGATTTTTTGATATCACTATCTTAATACTTTTATATGCAAAATAATTAGAGGAATCATACTGTGTAAAAAAATCATATAATTCCATAAAAAAGTGAAAGTGACTTTTATATCTTTTGACGTCTCCACCTAAAAAAAAAAAATCAAATTACATCTCTCTCGACAAATAGTTGTTTCATTATTGAATATAATTTTAAATATAATTTGTGATATAAATGAAAAAAAATGTAGAAAAAGAAATAATTAATGTATATTTTATATTATATATAATTTTATATAATTATTTCAACTT